CCAATGACCCCATTATAATTAACTTTTTTTTAAAAAACCCACTCTAGATTAAGGTACTGGAGGTTAGGACTTCACAAATGAGTTTGGGTGGGGTGGAACCAAAATTCATCCCTGTAATATCTGCCTTTAGGCCTTCTGAAATTCATGTGCATTTTCATGCAGAACATATTCACCTCCTCTAACAGCCCTAAACTCTGAACCCATTCTAGTATCAACTCTAAGGCTAAAAACCTCTAAGGTAGATCTGGGTAAAACTTGCAATATGGTTCATCCTGAGGGAAACATTCCTTAGCTGTGAACCTGGGAATTCAGACAAGTAACCTGCTACCAAAATTGAATGAAGGGAAGAAGTACTGGACAGACCCTCCCTTTCTAAAAGCAGGCATCTTTTTTGCTTTAGAAAGATGCAAGGGGTCTTAGCCAAGCCTTAGGTCTACAAGGCATATTTCATTAGATTCTAAGGCTTTATGAGAATCCCCTTTGATGATGCTTTTATTATCTTGCCCCTGGACAGCAGCCCTGCCTGTGGGACCTACACTCCCAAGAGTACAAAGGACGGTAAATTCCTGAGCCCCAAACCTGTGCCTCCCATGCTGTTGGTGGCAGTGGAAGCACAGTCAAAGGCTGAGCTACTTTCAGGGATGCCTGTCTTTTTCTGAAGGATAAATGCATGCTGTGGCCAAATTATCCCGTGGAACTTGTTAATGGTAACACCAATGCTTCCAGCAAGCTGGTGAACACAAAAACACTGGGGAGCAGATTTCTAGATATATAACTTTCACTTCTCTTAAAACTGACATGCCAGTTTTAATTTACTTAACTATAAGTGATTAGCATGTTTTTTAACATTGTTGTTCATTTACTGAACTCATGAAAGCTGAATGTTGGGAACACTGCTGTTCAACATAAATAAAACATTCCTTTGCAATTTTTAAAATAAAAATTATGTTTTTATCTTTGTGTTAAGAAGCAAATAAGTATGATGTTTCTTCCTTTTTTATTGTAAAACTTGAGTTACTTCAACTAATGTAGGATTGCCTAGTCAGTAAAAGGTCATGAAAATTTATATTTTGATGTTTAAAAGTTTCATTATATTTTTATGGATATACATAAAACCTCTGCTTTTCTCTCACTGAATTACTGCAAATTTGTGCTCTGATCTTCACCTGGCATGAGAAGATCATTTATAAGTTGACTCTGTTCTTTTCTCAACCACTAGTAAAATATTACTGTTACACTCTTACATTCATGTTAAATAAACACCTGAAGAATTAAAAAAAAAAAAAAAACCTGACATGCCAGAAAATGCAACTGAGAGAGTGAGTTTTTCTTTTAGCTGCTTCTATCCCAGTCAGTTCTCCTGCCCTGAAGAAACAGGTAAGCCACTCCTTCTCCTAAGGGGAAAAACTATCAAGGACTCATGATTATCTCAATATTTGGCACTGAGAGGGCAAAAAAAAAAAATAATAATAATAATAATGGGCTAGTAACTTAATAACTTCCCCAATTTTTCTTTCAATAACTGAAGGAGCTGCAGATAGCCTTATCTGATTACCTTCAAAATAGGCCTTGGATAAGCCAAGATTGGAAAATGAGGTTTTCTAAATTGTTCATTCCTTTTTCTCTTCTATTTCACCAGAAATGTGACTGATTTTACCATATAATTTGAAAAACACTTAAAGACTTCAGTGATGCTATTGTAACAAAACTCCCTGCAATTTCATCTACTTAAAAGAATCTCAGCCCTTATGTTACAGAAGAAAAAGATGAACAGAATATGCTAAACTTTGTATCATTCTATCAGAAAATAACAATCAGACCTAAAAATATGAATTAGTAGAATAGAAGAAAAAAACAGCTACAGTGATATCATTAAGAAATCTATTTTCTGTAAGTTTAGTATGTACATTTAACAATTTATCTCAAAATCTGTAGTACGGTTATACTGTTTTAATCAACTGGGTGCTAATAACTCACAAGGTGCTCTTCATGTTAGAATCACTTCAGAAAGACGACACTACAGTTTTAATCTACATGTTTATTTTGTTAGAGAAGTTTGAGGAATAAGTTAATGTGGAGTAAGCTGAAAAGAAAAAGTAAATTCAAAGAGAATCCAAGAAGAGGAATATAAAATGGCTAATGATAGGTGCCATGCTGTAATGATATTGTCTGCAATACATACTCTTAAGCTTAAAGCAATGTGATTTAAAGTATATGGCAAATGATAAACTTTGCAGTTTCTAAAATTTATGAAAAAATTAAAAATTATGAAAAAAATATAGTAGCACCTTAAAAACATAGTGGGTCTGCACACAATTTTCCAAGTCATTTAAGAATGGACAAGCTAAAATATATGAAGGCCTCTGCTATCAAGTATACCAGCTTGCCCCCTGACATGTACCCAACTGCTCTGACTACTTCTATGCAAGTAAGTGTAAGTATATAGCACAAAAGCATTCATTTAGCTAATATCCTTTACTAGAAAGATCCTTCCTTTTATCTTTTCTCAGGGGAAAAACTACATTCCCATATTTTCTTATATGCAACTATTTGATCAGTTTTCCTTAAGAAAATATATAGGGTTTCATAGTATGTTAACACATACACCACAAATTAAACAGGGCATTAAACATGCATCCCTGTGACTTTTGAAAATGATGGAAATTATAAGATTTGAACAGGCAGAGGCTCTGGCAGCTGAGTTGCTACCCAGCCTGCTGCAGGACTTCAGGCTCAGTCGGCTTAGCTCCTCTCACAGACTTGTATGTTCTGCAGGATCCCTTCTGGAGCCCAGAAGATGCCAATGGAATAGAAGTACCACCCAGAGTATCTTTGGGAAGACTATTTATAATCTGCTCTTTTAAGATCAAAGTCCTTCTTGCTTAGAGTAATGGCATACACTGACAATCCCAGCACTTGGGAGGCTGAGGCAGAAGGAGCACCTCAAATTCCAGGCAAGCCAGGGCTCCACTGTCAGTTCAAGGGCAGAAAAGAACACTAAAGCTCTTCCTCTATGTGTTCTACCTCCGTTTAGCCACAAGCAACTGATTCATTTGTCAAATGCTGTGCAATGTGATGAGACTCAAGACAGTGGCTATGTGGTCACCACAGACTTCAAGGAAAGGAAAAAACCCAGCTAAAACATGCATGAATCTTATTCAGACATAATGTTGACAACTCATGCATGAATACTAGCTATTATTATTATACTTACCAGAGTGCTGGTTCATTCAAAATACTGATTCAAGAAGCATCTTATTCAATAAAATATTTACTGGTACTGTTTTGCACACAATTTAAATTCATCATAATGTACCATTGCTTAAAGTACTTACTATCCAACAAAAAAGCTAATATTAAAAATATTCTCATCAAAACATTTTCTTCTGTAATACTTTGACTGTATCCAGGATTTGTTTGGCAGGCAAGGATTCTACAACTGAGCTACACCTTTGGTCTTCTTTCAAGCTTTAAATAAACTAGAAGAACTTTCTAGGGGTTCTAAGTTTGTACAAAAGTTCAGTTTTGCTGGTGACTGCGGATGAGGGCACAAACATGTCAGCGAGGCCATTCAAGGAAGGGCTATCTGTGCACTCTCACAGAATGTGAGTGCTACCATTCATAGCAAGTCCACTGGTTATGTCATTAACATACCACATAGGAAGGGATGACCAGGAAGCCATTTCTATGGCACATAATTTGGCATCACATGCCAGAGAACAGATGAAAGAACCACCCACGGTGAAGAGCACAAAGCCAGAATTTCTTACTTTCTGACAATTAAGTATCCATCTCTTTTGTAGTCTAAGTGACAACTATTTCAATAGCTATTCTGGCAGCATGATGAAGAATTTTATTACTTATTATATTGCTCTGAGCAGAAACTTTTGTTTTTACTACTATACATAGTAAAGGTTCACAGAAACAGAAGACTTACAGGTCAAAAAGCTCTACAATAAAAGATCCAACAGCACCAACACATGTGCTCCAAAAGGCCCACAAACATTTAGTGCCTGGGGACCAACGACCATGACTGCTGCTGTGGTAGGTAATGTGCAACTAACATGCCCCGTTTCTGCAGCCTCACAGAAGCCAGGGGCTTCATGAAGAAGCTATACCCCTAGGATTTCAGGGTCTAGGGAACAGACATGGCCTGGGATGTAGCAGAGAACCGCCCCTTGCGAAAAGCTGCCCCAGAGGGGGTGGTGAAAAGCTATGCCAAACAAACAAAAAAATGCAGAACACATTAACAAGACCGATGTCAGAAGTGACTGTCATAAGGAACTCTATATAGTTTGCCCTAGCTATGAGTATACAACACGTTCTTCCTCAATAGTCTCTGATCTCATTTTTTGTTGCCTCAGACACCAAAGACCCCAGACGGTTGTGCAATGTTTCCCATAAACAATCTACCCAGGAATCTAAGGATGGACCCAGTTGAGACACCCACCTGTTCCTGAGAAGAGTGGGGGGCAGCACCTCCTATGTTATGGTGTCTCTACTGAGTTGGGGGAGAACATGCAGCAGATGACGATGACACAGGACAGGCCCCAGGAATACAGGACTTTTATTTACTAACTGGACTTGTAAAACATGAAACCGCAATGCACACATTCACTCTATCTTAAACAGAAACATTTAATATTGTAGCTCTTTTGCTTTTTGTTCAGAGGACTATTTGGCATACTAAAACTCTGTCACCAGTCTGCCATGTCACAGCAACCCAAATACATTACCACAGGGTGACCTATGGTTTTCTAATTAAAGAAATGTTTGCCTACAATTTAGTTTCCACAAACCAGTTTCATAAAACCAATGAGTATGTCTGGTACCTGATGCACAATAAAGAGAAACACAGCCTTCTGTGTTTCTACAATTCAGTCCCTGTTGTGCCAGCTCATGATACATTCAGCCCATTCATTCACTCTGTACTATACAGAACATTAAAAAAGATGTGGTTTCTTTCCCAGTCTCAGAGGCACAAAGCATCCCCTACTCACATGTCCTCCACCGTGATGTCCTTCAGGATCTGGCAGTAATCCACATTCCACACAGCTTGATCATCCCATACCTTAGAGGCCAGCAGGATTGCCCCTAGGACAATCCTCTTCCAGTTGGCTGGACAGATATCTATCTCTGCGTACGTTAACAGTCTCTCCAGGTACACCTGTGAATACAGGCAAGGCCAGAGTTGAATGCTCTAGTTTTACCCTACCTATCAGCACATTTATGTTCTAAAGTTAGTTCCATCTCTCTAGCCTTTAAAGTGGGGATTATCTTATAGTATTTATTTTTAAAAGGCCAAAGGGCTCAATAAACCTGATGAAAGACAGACTGAAAGTCACAATCTATTATTTAGACAATGTAGATCTGAAAAGACAGTGAGTCAGAAACAAATCCGAGGAGTCATAGGTTAATTTCTCATTCTGTCAACTATTATCAACCCCAACTCAACAAATTATTTTAGTGAAGAGCAAGAACACAGTGGGGAAAAAACTTATTGCTGTATTAAAATTTATCATTTTGAGATAAGGGTAAATTCAAACATTTATTCTGGCAAAGTATACATAATATGTAACATTAATATTTAATCATTTTCATTTGTGAGGTTGTGGGGCCTTAAGATAACACTGCTCAGGGCCAGGAAGATAACTCAGTGGAATAAGTGTTTGCCTGACAAGCACAAGGTCCTGAGTTCAATCCCTGGTACTGAAAAAAAAAAAAAAAAAAAAAGATCACACTGCTCAGGTACCACCACTATGATCCAGCTCAGCACTTACCATCATGTCAAATTGAAACTTAAGGGGGGGCCTGCCCATTAGCTCAGTTAAGTGCCTGCTTAAGCAAAGTAGGCAGGCTCAGGATATTGTGGTTCGATCCCCAGATCCTCGTGCCTTACCAGACCTGCCTTTAATGCATCCTGAGCTGGCCCCCCCAAAAATAAATAAATAAATTTTTTTAAAAAATCAAAATCCTTCTGAACTTTGGGGCCTGCCCATTAGCTCAGTTGTTTAAATGCCTGCTTAAGCAAAGGCAGTGGCAGTCAGGCTCAGGATATTGTGGTTCTACTCCCAGATCCTTATGCCTTTTCAGACCTGCCCTGAGGCAGGTCTAAGGAATCCTGAGGCAGCCCCCCTCAAAAAAAAAAAAAAAAAAAAAATCCTTCCAGAGACTTAATATCCACTCAATAATACTTAGTCCTCCCTCTTCAGCTCTTGGCAACCACTAGTGTACTTCTTCTCTTTATGAGTTTAACTTTTGTGACTGGCTTATTTCATTTAGCATATCTACAAAGTTTATCTATTTTGTAGCTCAAATCAGAATTTCCATCCTATTTAAGGCTGAATGATACTCCTTCATATGTATATACCGCATTCTGTTTATCCATGGACCTCTGAGTTGTTTCTACCTTTTGATTGCTGTGAATCATGCTGCTATGAATACCAGTGTACATATATCCTGGCAAGTCCATGCTTTTGACTTATTTTGAGCTCATATTCATAACAGAATTCCTAGATTTTATGATAATTCTATGTACATGTTTTTGAGAAGCTATCATACATTCTTCCATAGCAGGTACATCATTTCATATTCCAGCAATGGCTAAGGTTTCCAATTTCATCATATTCTCCCCAACACTTGTTGTTTTCTAAGTTTTTTGGAAGGGAGGGAGATAATGGTCATTCCAATCGATATGAAGTGATATCTCACTGTGATTTTTATTCAATTATCCTATTTTCAAGTAGGTAAAGTGAAACAAAATAATACAGAGTTTCTAAAGTGGCAAAATTTGGTTTGAAAATAGCTATTAGATATAGCCATAAAGCCCACTGTTTAAGATGGGTATCACGGTAAGAATGCCTTTAGTTTCCCATTATAAAAATTTATTTATCAAATGCTTAACACTTTTTAAATCTTAATAGTTTTTTATCGAATACATTTGCAAAGTAGAACTATAAATGAAAGAGAAACAAAGATATAGATGACATCCATATTACTTTAAGAACCTGCTTTCTAAAACAGATGAAACTTAACTAGTGTTATAATTATAATAAATAATGTCTATAAATCTTCAATATTATGGAATACAAACAAAGGATTGTAGAAATTTAATGTTAAATACATAAAGTACAGATTATTGTGGTTAAATAATAACATTCATAAGAGGGACAAAAAAGGCTTAGGGGGGCACAACACCAGGGGACTTACTAGGGCCTTGGGGAGCAGGCTGGACTTGAGAGGTTCTTGGGACAGAGGGTGATTTAACACTGGTTGGGAGAAAATTCTTTAATGATGTGAATCTGTATGAAGCAGCACAGGGCATACCAGAAATAGACTACAACTATGTAATAAATTCATGGGATGAGAATGGGTAAGTAGGCATCACTACTACAACACAGGTGCTGAGCTGTGCTGCAAAGGAGAAGAGGCATTGGGACATTAGACAGAGAATCAACGTCTCAAATGGAAATGTAGCAGTAAGACAACAAGCATACGCTAGACACCTGAGGTGGCCCCACTGGCCACAGAAAGTGGCTGCTTTGGGAAAGTCCAGGCTATCAATGGTGCTGCTGGACAGTGCTGCCTCTGATATAAGAGGCACTGGAAGAAGGGGCTGTGAAAAGTGACAACAGGTCTGATTTTACTAAGTAGGTAATAAAATCAGAAACTGTGAATGCGTGAAGAATTAGTCTAAAGAAACCCACTACTACAATTTCATTACTTTCTTACATGTCTTCCCTTAATAAGTCCCAAGTTCCTTGGTAACAAACAGTTTATCTTATTGCACAATTCCAGGACAATATTGTACTCCATACATGTCTGCTAAACTAATACATGCTCCTATAGGAATGAGCAAAGGACAGCCACAGAGGACCCACCAGAGAAAGGATGTTCAGTTGAAATGTAAGGAATTTCACCATAAAATGACCAAAATAATGACCTGCATTCAGGGAAGAAACTACTGAATCAGTGGTTTATGTGATAGGTGTAGTGAAGCACATGAAGTCCAGAGGGGGCAGCTCCAGTGAAAGAGTCATTCTGCTGTGAGAGAGAGACCTTAGAGTTAAGGTCCAGGAAGGCATGAAGTGCAACATCCTAACTGAACTGTAACAAGCTCCAAGAGTCTTTTATTGAGAACAATAACATTTGATTATGACAACATATCATTCAACAGAGCTCAATAACCTTATTAATATTTAGAGATTCTAGCTTTTAATGGCATTAATAACACTGAATTTGAGTACAGAGAGAACATTAATGTCTTTGATGGTGATTTTTGTGTAAAAGATTATAATTCTCAAAGACACCAGGTGGCACCACGTGGAATTTCAGCTGGGCACTGAGCTAAGGACTCCACAATGCAGATTTACAAAAGTTGATGGTAAACTCTTCTCAGACAACAGGTCTGATTTTACTAAGTAGGTAATGAAATTACCTACTGTCCACCAAGGACAGAATAAGAACATGCATAGTTATACTGTATGTGAGACCAGGCAGTTAAGCCTGGGGCTCATTAAGTCCCAAATCTTCAGCCACTTGAAAAAGTGGTTGTGAACAATGTCCTCCTAAGATCCAGAAGACTATTCTTTGTACATGACTGAGGAAAATCTCTCAAAATGGTGGCTCCTTGATTTTCTTCTCATTTTCTTAAATTACTTTAGAGACATTAGTGAATACAGTAGATAATATTTAATGTTTGAAAAAAGCCCACCTATCCAATAGTTATCAACCACATGTGCTATTTCATGGTTAACTCAAAGAATGGGATATTGCACTATAACTCATGTCTGAAGGAAAGCAGTTGTTATACTGGGAAATACAGTATTTATAATAAAGCTGACTTCATAGTTTGTAATTTAGCATTAGCCAATAAAGCTAATTTCAAGGGTCACCTGCAATTTCTTTAGTAAATTCCCACTTGGCTATTTTAATTCTCTGCCAAGTAAAGTAATGTACAATTGGTTTTCTTAAACAATATCCCTAGACACTAATGGGACACGGTAGTATGATTAAGCTTTCACATTTAAATTCATGAAAAGACTGTCCGAATAAGTCTTTCTAGAAAATGCAGGCTAATGAGCAATTATACAATACTCTGAGGAACAAAGTACTCATTTGATTACACACTACAAAAACTGTTCAAAGGCATTTGGGGTGGTAGGCAAAATGGAAATTCAAGCCCATAAACAAAATCTGAATAATGCTGAAATTATTCCTGCCTAGTTTTAAAGAATTACACTAGGTTGGCTAATTGAATCCATATAAAGTACAATTTCCTTCTGGGTTTTAACGTGTGGTGTTATAGCTGTTTGGTTTAGCTGATTACAGCATGCTCCAGTGAGACCTAGGTCAAGAGTATAGGGCCAAAACTGTGTAAGAAGAGTTGGTAGGGTTAGCCCATTCTTAATTGTACCATAACTTCAAGCAGTCATCTCATAAGGTGCACTATTTGGGAGTCTGGGAATAACTATCCAAACTCTCAGAGTTCATTGTTCAGCAAAGGTCTATGAATTGCTAATTTTGTGGCAAAAATTATTTTAAAGGAGCAATTACAATTTCCTGTTTATAAAATTTATATAACTTTCACATTTAAACTCATTTAGTATTTGATGCTGTACAAGCAGCCTGAACTATACATTTACATTAAGTTACTGATATCCATGCTAAGACCATCATAAAATACACACGAATTCATCAATATACTGTTCAGCTGTTCTGTCCTTTAGTGAATTGTATCCCCTACTCAATTTCTAAACTCCAATTCTCAGATTGTGACTTTATTTGAAGATAAAGTCTTTGCAGAGCGGATCAAATTAAACTCAGAATTAAAACTATTGAAGGACTGAGGTCCTTCAAAGAGACAGACAGGAACACAGGGAGACACCATCCAAGTACAAAGATGGGCATCTACAGGGAACCAAGGAGGCCTGGAACAGAGTTCCATCACAGCACCCAGAATGAACCATCCCTGCCAACATCTTTATTTTATACTTCTAGCCTCTGGAACTATGAGATAAGTCTTTCTCCTTTCCTTCTTCCTCACCTCCTCTCTTCTGCCTCCTTTTTAAAAAAATTTTTTTGAGATAAGAGTGTTGTGCAGCCAGCCTAGCCCAGAATTCCTGGATTCAAATGACCCTCTTTCCTCAGCCTTCCAAGCAGCTGGAA